ACGTGTACACCCTGGCCCTGCTGTGCCGCTCGGGGCGCCACGCCCGGGGGGCTCCGCTGTCGGGCTCCATCGCCAGCCTGGCGCTGGCCGACCTGCTCTACCTGTGCTCCATCCCCTTCATCGTGGGCACGTCGGTGGCGCAGGACTGGTACTTCGGCGAGCTGGGCTGCCGGGTGCTGCTCAGCCTCGACCTCCTCACCATGCACGCCAGCATCTTCACCCTGACCGTCATGTGCACCGAGCGCTACCTGGCCGTCACCCGCCCGCTGGCCACCCGGCACCGGGCGCGGCGCTTCCGCAAGGCCACGGCCGCCGCCGTCTGGGGGGTCTCGCTGCTCCTCACCCTGCCCATGATGCTGATGGTCACCCTGAGCCGCCGCCGCGACGGGAAGCGCCTCTGCGCCCCGACCTGGAGCCCCGACGCCTACCGGCTCTACCTGACGGTGCTCTTCAGCACCAGCATCCTGGCCCCCGGGCTGATCATCGGCGGCCTCTACGCCCGGCTGGCCACCACCTACCTGGAGTCGCAGCGGAACCCGCCGCGCAAGAAGGAGCCCCGGCGCTCCCCGCGCCAGCGGGTCCTCATCCTGGTCTTCACCATCGTCCTGGTGTTCTGGGCTTGCTTCCTGCCCTTCTGGATCTGGCAGCTGGTGCCCCTCTACCACGGGCCCCTCGGCCTCCCGCCCCACACCCAGAAGTGCATCAACTACCTGGTCACCTGCCTGACCTACAGCAACAGCTGCATCAACCCCTTCCTTTACACCTTGCTCACCAGGAACTACCGGGAGTACCTGCGCACCCGGCACAGCACCTTTTACCGCTTCACCTCTTCCTTCCGCAAAAGGGGCAACAACTTGCACTGCTCGTGGAGGCGATCCACCTCCTCCAGCACCCAGTACGAGTCCGGATCCGAGGGCCTGAACATGACCACGCTGCGGGACTGCAAGTGACCTGCCTCCTCCCCACCCTCTTTGTTAGGAGCAGCCTCCAAATACCTCCTAGATCCAGGTGGGCATGGGCAAGGTAAGGCCTCCTGTGAGGGTGGCGAGCTTCATGCTGTGGGGCACAAGGAAGTATGTTTAGGATCACAGCCTGGCAGTATTCCCTACAAGATTAACAGGTTTATTTCAGTGTGAGCTTTTGCAGATCAGACACAAGGAGTGGACATACCTGTCCTGTATGTGAATCCTTGTGGTGGTGAGAGTCCTGCCCAGGTAAGGATACAGATAACAGACGAAATAACAATAATTCATGAACACTGGAATGGACAGTCAAAGTGTTGCAATATTTTGCCTTTTTCTGTCTTCCAAACCACCTTTATTTTTTGCCAATATCCTATGACCAACCAGCAGGACGGTAACACTTGTTAGGGGGTATTCCTGTTACTGGAAAGGTCCTTTAGATTTCAAGGGGACTTGTTCCCAGGTAAGTCTGCATAATGTTGCAGCCTTAGTGTAGACGGTGACAATTGTAACAGTTGTCAGAGACTAGATGTGTTCCTTTCGAAAGTTCATGAACATTGCAGTTTGCATTTGCAAAACTGCTGTTTAAAAAGGAAAATCGTCATTCCAGCACGGGTTGTGTGCAGATGTTTTCAGATTGTCAGTGCCCAGATATGCTCCCGGGTAGACAGGAATGCATATCATAGAGCCAGCAATTGGCAGGATCTGAATCAAAAGAAGTCTCCCATACTAGCTTCTCCAGTTACTGGGAAATATGGAAGGAAAAGAAACTACAGCACAGAGACTTTGCGAGCAGGCCACTAGAGGTAGTTGCACTGGCCCATCCCACCTGCTTCTCAAAGCAACTGTTCTCTGGCAAAACTGAGCTAAAAAAAAACATCCATTTAAAACTTTGCTGATGCTGTTCTCTGGCAAAACTATTTCCTCCACTGAGCTAAAAAAACATCCATTTAAAACTTTGCTGATATATTTTAGATCAGCCTTAATATTTAGTGTGCTCCATGACTTTAATATCTTTCTCTCTGTGTGTCTCTTTCTCACTCCCTTTTGTAGAAGATCAGAGGGCATTTATTCAGTCGGCCACTTGATATTTTGTTTCGTTTTATTATAGAGTGATCAGATAAAAAAGGGTTCTTGTATTTGTAATAGCTGTGTGGAGGAGTTTTCATCAGATGTAAGGTAAAAGTTCCCCTTGACAAATTGTCCAGTTGTGTCCAACTCCAGGGGGTGGTGCTCATCCCCGTTTCCAAGCCGTAGAGCTAGTGTTTGTTTGCAGACAATCCTCCAGGGTCACGTGGCCAGCGCAACTAGACACGGAATGCTGTTACCTTCCCACAGAGGTGGTACCTATTTATCTACTCACATTTTTACATGCTTTCAAACTGCTAGCTTGGCAGGAGCTGGGACAAGCCACGGGAGCTCACTCCATCGCGTGGAATCGAACTGCTGATCTTTTGACCTTGCAGTCCAAATGCTTTGCGGTTTAACCCACGGTGCCACCATGTCCCAGACGTAGCTTTCAGCATCAGCTAGAATTTTCTCTTCAAATAACTAATAAGAGTACAGGAGGAACCCTCTCGTCTTTTTTATGTGGCCACTGAATTTTGTCAAAGCCCATAGAACCATCCTCCTAGTACTATGGCACTTCAGGGCTGAGGAGTAAGTCATTGGGAAGAGCTGTATATTTAGATGCTTCCTTATTATCAGGGGGAAAGGGTTGTTTATTTGTTTGTTTTTTAACACAGAGGGCCAGGTAAACATTATTGATTAGTTGTATTTGTATCCAACCTTTCCTCCAATGAGCTCATGTTAACTTCACAACAACCTAATGAGGTCTAAACTATGGGCAAGTGATGGGACCAGCAGTGGTTGACCCCTAGCCCGACAGTGTGCATATATGCATATGTAACCCTCTCTTGGACGGACGGACGGACGGACGGACGGACGGACGGACGGACGGACGGACGGACGGACGGACGGACGGACGGACGGACGGACGGACGGACGGACGGACGGACGGACGGACGGACGGACGGACGGACGGACGGACGGACGGACGGACGGACGGACGGACGGACGGACGGACGGACGGACGGACGGACGGACGGACGGACGGACGGACGGACGGACGGACGGACGGACGGACGGACGGACGGACGGACGGACGGACGGACGGACGGACGGACGGACGGACGGACGGACGGACGGACGGACGGACGGACGGACGGACGGACGGACGGACGGACGGACGGACGGACGGACGGACGGACGGACGGACGGACGGACGGACGGACGGACGGACGGACGGACGGACGGACGGACGGACGGACGGACGGACGGACGGACGGACGGACGGACGGACGGACGGACGGACGGACGGACGGACGGACGGACGGACGGACGGACGGACGGACGGACGGACGGACGGACGGACGGACGGACGGACGGACGGACGGACGGACGGACGGACGGACGGACGGACGGACGGACGGACGGACGGACGGACGGACGGACGGACGGACGGACGGACGGACGGACGGACGGACGGACGGACGGACGGACGGACGGACGGACGGACGGACGGACGGACGGACGGACGGACGGACGGACGGACGGACGGACGGACGGACGGACGGACGGACGGACGGACGGACGGACGGACGGACGGACGGACGGACGGACGGACGGACGGACGGACGGACGGACGGACGGACGGACGGACGGACGGACAGACAGACAGACAGACAGACTAGATAGATAGATAGATAGATAGATAGATAGATAGATAGATAGATAGATAGATAGATAGATAGATAGATAGATAGATAGGCAATCTATGGGGAAATCTATCTATCTATCTGTCTCTGTCTGTCTGTCTGTCTGTCTATCGAACAATCGATCGATCGATCGATCGATCGATCGATCGATCGAACTAACGAACTAACTAACTAACTAACTAACTAACTAACTAACTAACTAACTAACTAACTAACTAACTAATACAAACTTTGAAAAAATGTTTTTGTATATACATATGTAACAAAACAATGACAGCAATTATATAACACAGCCCCAAACTGGATACTACAATTTGTATTCCCAAATTCTTTCCACCAGGACCAGAGTGGGAGCTGCTTGTAGAAGCAAAGAAGAAGGCATATCTCCTTGAACCCAAATAAAAACAAAGCCCCATATACTGTATACTGTATACTGTATATTTAATAACTAAGATAGGACATCCACAACATAAAGGCATCAGCTCCACCTATATAGTCTTTAAACACCTAAAATAACAAACTCCAATGTAAATACGTAAGATCACTGTGTGGATTCACCAGTGCCCCTCTTGCACAAACATATGGAAACTCCACTACCTAAACCAAGGTGGCAAGGGCCTTGTTGTCCTCGAGGGGAACAGCAGCTCCCACCTCTTCAGCTCTCCTCCTCTTTCTCATTTAAATCTTGAACCACAGCCCCTTCTTAGGATTTCCCCACCCATTGGGCTGAACCAAATAGTCCATAGGGGTTACACATGAACTTCCCAAGAAGACTGTACCACATGCATGTCCTCTTCAAGTGTTCAATGAAGGATTAACCCAGCTGGCCAGATTCACTTTCCATTCAAGCTGTGTTATGTGGATAGCTGTGTCTGAAGAAGAGAAGAGCGGTCTTGTATCCATGGGGATAACCACCCAATCAGAAACCCTGAAAAGAAATCAGGGTTCCATTTTTGCATGGAAATGCACCATTCATAAAGAAAGCTATCTTTCTCTAATTCAGTTCTTCACACAGGAGCATTAGGATGAAGGACTGGAGCAGGGCTAGGCTGCTACCTCTACTCAAGGGTTAAGATTAACCCTTTCATTGAAAGTCTGAATAGAGCCCTATTTGTTTCTGATTGTTTGCCATTATAGACTTTTGTTACAAAGACTGGCCCATGGGGAATGTTTGTGTACCGAAAGCTCTGACTAAATGATTTTTAGAGCCTGAATCCAACTGGTTGTGCCAACTATAGTAAACTTACTGAATCAGTGGGATTTATATGAGTGCTGATTTACCATTTACCAATTGGATTGGGATTAGCAACTGGATTTGGGACTGCATTTCTTTCAGATCTAAGGATACATGCGTCCACTCACAATGTGACATTGATTTGCCTGCTTGTCACTCCCATTGAATTCACCGGAGCTTACTTCTAAGTGAACATGTATAAGACTGCATAAAATTAGGTAAGTTCCGTTTGTCATTTGTATGCTGGTCATCGTTCAGAAAGGCAAAGCTCAGTCATTAGTTCTTTGCTGAAGCCAAGGGTTATAATAACTTTAACAATCCAGTGCAAGTGACTTTTGCACATCATCTTCTGGATTACCCAAGGCCAAGTAGTTTTATTCTGTTTGGATTTAGTCTAGCTGTATTTGTAGGAGAGTGTAGATTGTGAGGATACTGTTTCTGGAATCTGGGTTTGGCTCAGAATGTTAAATTTTCAGCAGTGGATCCAGATTGTTGCAAAAGATGTGAGGAGGAGGAGGGCAGATGAAGAGGACACTGGCCACAGTGCTTAACACAACATCTACCCCTTTTACCAAGCTGCTTCCCTACACGTATTTTTATAGTCTAGAATTCTTCGTAGTTACTTTGGTTTCCAACAGAGATAGTGAAAAGTGCAATCTTTGCAGCCTTACAATCTGGCCTTTAAAAAGGACAAGGGAAGCCAGGGCATTGGCTGTGTGCCCAGTTCTCCTGTTGGGGTTTTGAATATTTAGTTGCTCAGTGGAATGCCTTCATTCCCTTATTTGATGTTATCTTTCCTGAGGCAATGATGAAAAAAGCAGTACGCTCAAAGTGCTGATGATGATTGAGGAGGGCCTGTTTTTTTATATTTCACTCTGTGGACTATTCAGGCATGTGTGAAGTGATACGTCTGTGAGTTACCAGTCTTCTGCCTGAATGGATCACACTAAAACAATAAACAAGAAAACTCGACCTGAGCACTGGGATGGATTTTTTTATTTATTTATTTTTATTTTAGAAAAACACACACTTTCCCTGAAATGAAAGGCA